TGCTTCAAATCCACACCTGTTCTGGGGTCCTTGACAAGGCTTCAGGCTCCCACAGTCTGCAGCTGAATGGAAGAAGCTTCATTTCTCCATCTACCCGCTTGAAAGTAATGCCTCCCACTCCCCTTTTTCTAAAGGCAAGTTGAAACACAGAGGCACGTAGCTGCTAAAGTTTCGGGCATCACATTTTCAATCTTTCGACCAACATTGTGTGCCTGATGCAATTGCTAATCTATATCTATATATCTATATGTGCATCTATATCTGGGGGAAAAAAAACCTTTCTCAGGCTTATAGGTGGTCTGTATCTTTCTCAAAGTTAGGTCCTTTATCCCGAGGCCGGGAAGTTTGAAGCTGCTTTCTCTCTCTGCTGCCTGTTACTTCCTTGCCATCATTGGCGGACCGACTGTTTCCTTGACTTTTTTTTTTGTTTTTTATGGGTTGAAAGTAACTTTGTATTATTATCTTTGACTTGGGTTGCAAGTCTTTGTTCATTTTGAGAATTTTGCTTTCCTGACTTCATCTTTGCAGATTCGGGTTATCTGCTGATACTCTGCCTTAGTTACGTGTCCCTCTTTCCAATTTTTGTACTTATCCTTTTGGTCTTTCAGTTTATCAGAAAGATCTTTGTGCAACCATGCTGGTGTGTTCTTAGATTTCTTGTTTTTCTTTTTCATTGGTATTGTGCTGGACTGGGCTTTTATGATCATGTTTTTTTAGAGTTTCCCAAGCTACTTGGCTTGTTTTCCCCTTTAGGATTTTCATCCATGGAATTCTCCCCAACCTCTCACTCTCTAAATTTGTTAAAATCAGTTCTTTGAAAGTTTAAGGCACTGGTTTGATTATGTTGTATTACTTGTGTCTGCGTTATATTGAATTTCAATATTACTATTCTATTCTATTCTGTTCTGTTGTTTCTTGTTCTATTCTGTTCTGTTCTATTCATTCCACTCTATTCTGTAGTCTGTTCTCTATTCTATTCTATCCATCATATCTATATCTGTCCCTCTGTCTCAGAGACACTGTCTGACTCTGTCTCTGTCTGTCTGTCTGTCTGTCTGTCTGTCTGTCTGTCTCATCTATCTATCTATCTATCTATCTATCTATCTATCTATCTATCTATCTATCATCTATCCATCCATCCATCCATCCATCCATCCATCCATCCATCTATCTATCTATCTTATCTATCATCTATCTATCTATTTATCATCTATCTATCATCTATCTATCTATCTATAGATGATAGACAGAGAGATAGAGATACAGACATAAAGGGCAGATGATTGGATGGATGGATGGATGGATGGATGGATAGACGGACGGACGGACAGACAGACAGACAGATAAATAGAGATAGAGATACAGACATAAAGGGTAGATGATTGGAGAGAGAGAGAGAGAGAGAGAGAGAGAGAGAGAGATATCTATGTAATCAATGGACCCATTCTGCAGAGGTATTTGGAATCCAAATACAGGTGGCTCTCGGATTAGGACAATCCACTTAGTGACCATTCGTAGTTACCATGGACACGTCCCCCGAAAAAGTACTTACAACTCAGTTCCAAAGTTTCTTTAAAGTGCCCAAGATAAAGTCCCGCAACCAGCCCTCCTTTGCCACTGTCTGCAGAATCTCTCGCTCCCCTGACCCCAACTGACGATGTTTTTGCTCAAAACCAGGGTTCACTTCTGGGTTTCGGCACACATGCCCCTTCAACGAACAATCGGTTCATTTAACGACCCCTGCAGAAAAGGATTATAAAATCGGGCTCAATCCCATGACGTTCTGCTTTACAGCCATCCCTTTATGGCCGTTAAGTCGAGGACAATCTGTCCTTTCCATCCTTTATCCCGCCCTTTCTCAAACCTTTAATGACTAGCTGGGGGATTCTGGGAGTTGAAGTTCCACCGTTTTGAGAAACACCAAACAGTTGGGAGCTGATCAGGAATGCAAATCCTTGAGGGACCAGCAGAGGGCAGCAAAAGCTGCTGCAAAGCTCCCCTCTGCTGCCTCCTAAAGGAATTCGGAGTTTTGCAACTTAAGATTTTTTTGGGGGGGGGGGGGAACAACCTCACACACCCCCAGCCTTGAACCAGGGGAGAAAAAGCACCCCTAGTTTTTTCCGAAAACAGGCTTGCGAATTTTGCAGATCCAAGGATGCTCGTGCCCCTGTCTTTTAATAATAATAATAATAATGATAAAGTTGGAAGGGACCTCGGAGGTCATCTAGTCCAACCTCCTGCTCAGGCAGGAAACCCTATACCATTTCAGACAAATGGCTGTCCGGTCTCTTCTTAAAAACCTCCAGTGTTGGAGCATTCAGAGCTTCTGGAGGCAGGTTGTTCCACTGGTTAATTGTTCTCACTGTCAGGAAGTTTCTCCTTAGTTCTAGATTGCTTCTCTCCTTGCTCAGTTTCCATCCGTTGCTTCTTGTCCTGCCTTCAGGTGCTTTGGAGAATAGCTTGACTCCCTCTTCTTTGGGGCAGCCCCTGAGACACTGCAAGGCTGCTATCATGTCCCCCCTCGTCCTTCTCTTCATTAAACTAGACATACCCAATTCCAGCAGCCGTTCCTTATATGTTTTAGCCTCCAGTCCCCTGATCATCTTTGTTGCTCTTCTCTGCACTCTTTCTAGAGTCTCAACATGTTTTTCTTAGCAAAGAACGGATCACATTTCTCCCTGCACAAATTCCTAAGGGATTATGTCTTTTCGGTGGCTGTTTTATTTAAAGATTTCGGCTAGATCCCGGGCAGATTAAAAAAACAAAAGGAAGAAGGAAGAAGAACATTTGCTAATCCAGGTCAGACTAGCTGGGGGGGGGGGGGAAGGAGGAACAGTCTCTGGATAAAAGGGCTTAGCAAAAAAAAAAAGGGGGGGGGTGTCCCTGGAGAAATACCCCACCCCAGAAACCCCAAGACATGCTGGACTTCAACTCCCAGAATTCCTCTGGGGCTTGGAGTCCTGCACTTCTCGGGAAAAGTGGGGAATCCAACAGTTCAAAAGCAGTTTTTCTGCCCAGATGGGGTCAAAAAAGTCAAGATGGCAGCCAGACAAATGAAAACGAGGCGGGGATCTGACCGCACGATGCCAGGGGGACTTTATTTTGACTTTTCTGACTCCTCCAGCAGCCAAAGGACTTTTGGGAACCCCAAACCAGCAGCAGCGTATCCAAAGGCTGACGTTCAGAGGTAGACTGTTACTAAATATGGAGGCTCTGTTCAGCTTCCTCCTCCCATATGTGCGTAAAAGCTGGATTGGAATTACTCCAGCATCCCCTTGCTTGCAAAATTAAACCGGGGCCACCGTTTCTCAACCTTGCCAACTTGAAGATGCGTGGACTTCAACTCCCAGAATTCCCCAGCCAGCCATGGGAGTTGAAGTCCAGGCATCTTCAGGCTGCCAAGCTTGAGAAAACTTGAACCTAAAAGTTCAAAGCTAGGAATTTTATCCCAAATCAGAATAACGCTAATCCTCAAGAAATAAATAAAAGCAGAAAAAAGATAACAAGCCCCTAGGTCAACAAGCTGTGGCTAAATGTCGCAGCAGAATGTGTAAACCCACATTCCGTGTGAGTCTCTTCTAATATTCCAGCCAAATATCTGTTTCTTCGCACCCTTTATTTGTCCGGATGTGTTTCCCGCCCTCTTGTGAATGGGGTTGACTTTCTCCTCCTTTGGTTAACACTCAGAAAAGCACAAAATCCCCAAGGATTGTTTTTCATGACCAAAAAATAAAATAAAATCAGAAATATTAATAATACGGTATAACAGAATAACAGAACTGGTTCTAGTCCAGCCTGACTGTCCAGTCTCTTCTTAAAAACCTCCAGTGATGGAGCGCCCACAACTTCATGTCATTCCTCTGATTAATTACCAGAATGACAGAGATGGAAGGGAGCTTGGAGGTCATCTAGTCCGACCCCCTGCTCAAGCAGGAGACCCTCTACCATTTCAGACAGTCTCTTCTTGAAAACCTCCAGTGATGGGGCACCCACAGCTTATGGTGGCAAGCTGTTCCACTGGTTAATAGTCCTCACTGTCAGGAAATTTCTCCTTAGTTCCAGGTTGCTTCTCTCCTTGATCCGTTTCCATCCGTTGTTTCTTGTCCTGCCTTCAGGCACTTTGGAGAATAAGTCGGCCCCCTCCTCTTTGTGGCAGCCCCCTAATAGTTCCGTAATAAGGTGACTCTGGGCAATGGTCATGTAGCCCAATTCAATGAATAGACTAGACTAGACTAGACTAGACTAGACTAGACTAGACTAGACTAGAATAGAATAGAATAGAGCTGGAAGAGACCTTGGAGGTCTTCTAGTCCAGCCCCCTGCTCAAGCAGGAGACCCTATGCCAGTGATGGAGAACCTTTTAGAGACCGAGTGCCCAAACTGCAACCCAAAACCCACTTATGCATCGTCGGGTGCTGGGTGGGCGTGGCCCACTGGGTGGGTGTGGCTGCTGTGGTAACGGCAGACTGGGTGGGACTAAAATGTTCAATCAATTCCAACTTTGCGAGATCTTTTTGTTTTCCCGCGAGGTTGAAATTGACTGATTGATTGAACCTTTTTTTTTTTTTTTGCACACGGTGGCGGAGGCCTAAACGAAAAGGTTTATAAAACCCAGCTGAAGGCCTAGGACTGGGGCGACGGCGCGCGTGCCCACAGAGAGGGCTCTGCGTGCCGCCTCTGGCACCCGTGCCATAGGTTCGCCACCACTGACCTATGCCATCTCAGACAGGTGACTGTCCAGTCTCTTCTTAAAAAACCCCAGTGTTGGAGCGCCCACGATTTAAGGACCGGAGGCTGAAGGAGCTCTGAGTAGGACAGCAGGAAGGCTACCGGCTCCTCTTCCTGCCATGTAAATCCAGCCCCTCCCGCAGCCTCCAATGGTATCGGCCTCTTTTGCTGCAGCGTCACACCAGGCCGGCTGGCCGGCTTATGGATCCCACTTCCTCCTCTCTGACCACTGAGCGCCCCGCTCTCTCTCTCTCTCCTTTCCAGGCTCCAGAATGTTCCTCGGCAAGCCGGAGGGGGAGCCGAGCGAGCTGCGGAGGAGCGTGGAGGAGGCCAGCGGCACGCCGGAGCCGCTGGATGAGGAGCTCTCCAAGAAGAAGCACCGGCGCAACCGGACCACCTTCACCACCTACCAGCTGCACGAGTTGGAGAGGGCCTTTGAGAAGTCCCACTACCCCGACGTCTACAGCCGGGAGGAGCTGGCCATGAAGGTCAACCTGCCGGAGGTTCGGGTTCAGGTAAGCAGGGCGCGGTGGGCTTGGGCGAGGAAACAAGCCAAGATTAGACCCAGGATTTCAGGAGCACCAGGCTGAGATGGTGCTACCGGTCGTCCTCGGTGTACGGCCGTTTCTTTAACAACCGCTCCGAGCTGCAACGGCTCTGGGGAATAAAAAAGGTGACTTACGACCGGTCCTAGTAATTACGACCGTCGCAGCGCCCTCGCGATGGTGGGATCCGAATTCGCCCCCTTGGCAACCGCCACGCGCTTCTGATGGTTGCAGCATCCCGGGGATCCCGCAATCGACCAGCAAAGTAAAATGAGGGGAAGAGGGACTTGTTTAACAACTTAACTTAACAACTGCAGTGAGGTTCGCTTAGCAAAAAAAAAATAATGTTGTAAATAGGACATTTCACAATCGCTTTGCTTAGCAGGGAAAAATTCTGGTTCCAGTTGTGGCTACTTAATATTTGGGTGGAAGATTATAGGAGTAAGACCTCGCCTAGTCTAGGGCCAAGCCTCGTAGCCAACTTCCCTGCATGTAGAAATCTAAAATGTCAAGGAGGAAACACAAAACGTACTTCTGTGAGCTACAAATTCTTGTTCTTCCTCAATCGGGAGCATTCAGACGTGAGAAACGACCCCAAAAGTGCTTTTTTTCAGGAGGAAACTGGACATTCTTGTTTTTTCCTTTGAAGACGTTTCGTTTCTCATCCCAGAAGCTTCTTCAGCTCTGACCGTATGGTGGGGAAAGGAAGGATTTATACTCCATGCAGACAGCTGGTTATTTGCAGTCTTGTAGAGTTGTTGAGGCCACTTGGAGGTTTGTCTGCATCCTCACCTAAGTCATGCAAATGGGTGTGGAGCCTCCTTGGAGCTGCGGAAAGGACGGTGTTGTAGACTGGAGGTAGGTGGTGTCGTATCCTCCCCCTCTGCTGAGAGAGGGCTCAACGGCCAACACAACATACGTGCACACTTCAAACCCACGAATACACCAAGGCAAAAGCTGGTCCACCCCAAGGAGGAAACACCCAGACACAAACTGAGCAACGTGGTGTGTGCAGTACAGTGCAGGGAGCTGTGGGTAGATCTCTGCATTGGGGAAACAAAACGACCACTTCACAAGCGCTGGGCGCAACGGAGGAGAACCAACCCATCAGGAGCAGAGTCAGCCGTCCGTCTGCATTTGAAAGACAACGTCCGCTCTTTCGAGGACGGGAAAGTCCACATTTTGGACAGAGAGGACCGCTGTCTTGAGAGAGGGGTCCAAGAGGGCATCTAGGTCCAAATTGAACAACCCTCTCTCTCAACAAATGAGGAGGGATACGACATTGTCTACCTGCAGTCTACAACACAGTCCCTTCAGCAGTTCCAAGAAGGCTCCACACCCATTTGCACCACTCAGGTGAGTCTGAAGACACAGACAATCCTCCAGGTGGCCTCAACGACTATCTGCAAGGAGTCTAAATCCTTCCCTTCCCCACCATCCAGTCAGAGCTGAAGAAGCTTTTTGGATGAGAAGCGAAACGTCTTCAAAGAAAAAACAAGAAATTCCAGTTGCCTCCTGAAAAAAATCACCTTTGGGACCACCGTGATCTGGATGATGGAGACTCTCCAGAGACACGAGAAACAATTTTGTACTTAAGTTACAGCAAGGCTGTGCTCCTGCCTCGCAATTGACAAAGTCAGTCTCCCGCTTAGTGACTAGATGACACCATTTATTTTTCTACGGCTATTCGTCTCAACAAAGGGACTCTTAGCATCTAACTAACTAACAACAACCAATCAACAGAAAAATGAGTACAGAACGATCAGGTGAGATAAGAACAAACTATTCTCAAGCCAGCCATGGTTCGTACCATGTCCTATGGTTGGTTGTTTTTGATCCTGATTAGTTGTGTTTTTCCTATGGAAGGGCACCCCCCCAAAAAAGTAGACTTTATTTCCCACAATTCCCTAACCAGCTGGGTGTCTGATAGAGATTCTGGACATCGAAATTCACCTTCTCGGCTCTGTTTATTTTCCTGCCTGCCTACCTGCCTCGTAGCGATTTCATAATATTAGTGGAAGTCATTGGCTTGTGATGGATGAGCATACAAATTGTTTAAAATCAATATTACTAAAATAATACTAAGCAAAGGAGAGGAATAAAGGGATATCAGTGAATTCAAATACACCCAATTACTAAACACAAGCAGCTGTGACCATAAAAGGATAGTAGTGGGTTACCACTATAGGTATTCGTAATAAAAAAGTTGGTGAACTAAACCCTTTCAGTAACAATATCGGTAGTCCTTGACTTACGACCATAATTGAGCCCAGAATTTCTGTGAGATAGTTGTTAAGTGAGTTTTGCCCCATTTTACGACTTTTCTTGCCAACACCATTGGCAAGAAACATGAGTTATTAAGTTGATAACAGTTAAGTGAATTCAGTTTCCTATTGATTTTGCTTGTCAGTAGGTTGTAAAAGGGGATCACGTGACCCCGGAATACGGCGACCGTCATAAATATGAGTCAGTTGCCAAGTGCCTGAGTTTTGATCACGTGACTACAGGGAGGCTGCAACGGTCGTAAGTGTGAAAACGGCCTTAAGTCACTTCGATTTCAGTGCCGTTGCAATGTCAAACGGGTGCTAAAGGCAGGTTATAGGTCAAGGATTACCTGTAACAGAACCAGACACAAACTGGCCGGGGGATTCTGGGAATTGAAGTCCACGCATACTAGACTTATCCCGGTTGAGAAACACTCCCTTGGGAAAATGTTCAGGAGATGAATTAGCAAGTGCTCCTACTGTCTCCCCTAGGTGAGGGGTCTCCATCCGTGGCCATTTTAAGACTTGTGGACTTCAACTCCCAGAATTCTTCAGCCAGCCAACCAGGGAATTCTGGGAGTTGAAGTCCACATGTCTTTCAGCTGGGGAATTCTGGGAATTGAAGTCCACAATTCTTCTGGCTGGGGAATTCTGGGAGTTGAAGTCCTCAAGTCTTCCGGCTGGGGAATTCTGGGAATTGAAGTCCACAATTCTTCTGGCTGGGGAATTCTGGGAGTAGAAGTCCACAATTCTTCCAGCTGGGGAATTCTGGGAGTTGAAGTCCACAATTCTTCCGGCTGGGGAATTCTGGGAGTTGAAGTCCACAATTCTTTTGGCTGGGGAATTCTGGGTGTAGAAGTCCATAATTCTTCCGGCTGGGGAATTCTGGGAGTTGAAGTCCACAAGTCTTAAAGTGGCCAAGTGGGAAAGACCCCTGAATATGTAAATGTTGTTTCTCATTCCTCTTGGGGGGGGCACTCTTTTCACAGGTTTGGTTCCAGAATCGGCGCGCCAAATGGCGCCGTCAGGAGAAGATGGAAGCCACCGCCATGAAGCTTCACGACACCCCCGTGCTGTCCTTCAGCAGGCCCCCGATGGCGGCCAACATGGGGCCGATCGGCAACTCTCTCCCCTTAGACCCGTGGCTGACCTCGCCCATCTCCAGCGCCACCACCATGCACAGCCTGACGGGGTTGATGGGGCCCAGCCAGGCCCTCCAGCCCACCTACCCAGCCCACGCCTTCCTCAATAACCCCCCCGCCCTGCCCCAGAGCATGCAACCCATGGCGCCTATGGCCTACCAGTGCGCCACAACTTTTGTGGACAAGTACCCCTTGGAGGACCTCGACCAGCGGAACTCCAGCATCGCGTCGCTGCGCATGAAAGCGAAGGAGCACATCCAGACCATAGACAAAACCTGGCAGCCCATTTGATGGCGGGTCAGGCCGCCTTGCCGTAGTAAAACACCAACCAGGCTGAGCGGGACCCTAGGAGACTCTCTTACGATCCCTCCCCCCTCCTCGGTCAAGATGTCGCTTAGTTTCTCGTGCGATCTGGGGGGTGGGGCGGTGAGCAACCACCGCGGAAAGGGAGAGGCTCTCCGATTCCATTTCACAGACCTCAGCTATAAAGTGGATTGACGCCAGGGAACACGCTAGACGCAGCGTTCGCAAGGGAAGATGCTTTCGTTCACACCAGATTGGTGGCAGAAGTGGTATCCGCCAGCAAGAATTCTGCACGGCGCGTTTGTCCTTGCGGGACTGCTGAAGTTGTTGTTACAGGCAGGTGTAGAATTTGGCAGGGAATCTCTGCAGGCCTCGAAAATCTCCTTCCAAACCAAATGCAAATTGTGGAGGGACCTCAAAGGTTTTCTGTTCTTTTGTTTTTTGTTCTTTTTCTACCGAATGCCAGCTGGGAGGGTGGAATGTGGGCAAAATTGCACCATTTCAGAACGGGCGCGCAAGGCTTTTTTTAGGGAGAGAGCAGCTTTCTGCTCCATCCGCTGCTATGTTTTGCTTATTTTGGTTTTTCTCCCACAATTTTGTTCCACCTTAATTTAGCATCTACTACAAATGGTCCTTGAGTTACAATCATTCTCTTAGTGGCCGTCGGAAGTTATAACGGCGCTGAAAAAAAGTAACTTACAACCGTTTTTCACACTTAGCGACCGTTGCAGCACCAAAATTCATGGATAGGTGATCAAAATTCCGATGCTTGGCAACTGACTTATAGTTATGACGGTTGCAGAATCCCCGGGATCACCCGATTCCCCCTTTTGGGACCTTCTAATATACCGAGTCAATGGGGGAAGCCATACTCACTTAGCAGCCATGCAGTGATTCACTTAGTAACTGTAGCAAGAAAGATCGTAAAAGGGGGTAAAACTCACTTAACAATTCTCTCGCTTAGGAACAGAAACGTTGGGCTCCATTGTGGTCGTAAGCCGAGGACTGCCTGTGTAGGATGGGATTTCCAGGCTGGCCGGATTAAAAACCAGCAAGATGAAAAACCAGAAAAAAAACTGGTGCTTCTCAGTCATCCATAGTTGTCCCAAAGATGCAACTGGACTTTCTTGTTTTGATTTGGGAAAAAAACCAAAAATAAGCCAAAAACTCGTGAAAAAGCATCTTTGGGACAAAAATAAAAAAAACCCGTGGACTCTTCTCAGGGTTATTGTCACCGTCATTGTCGTTGTGAGGAAACACCCCTGGTCAGAACAGCAAAAAGCAAAGTTTACATAAAGTTAAAATAAAAAAGACGCACATCTTAAACCCGCCAGCAAATTCAAGAAGAAGTACGATCCGTGCCGTCGTCGTTCAAAACAAGACAGAGCGGGTATCTTTCCGCCTCGTCTGCCACTCCCTGCGGGATCCCTGACCGGAAAAGGACCAGTGGGATCGGCCAAAAGGATCCCTGGCTCAAAAGATCCACCGGGATCCGTGTAAGGCTGGCGAGTCAGAAGGGAAAGCAGACGGGAGAAGGCCGTTCGCCCCGTGGGAGACACGGACGCTGACCGTGGGAGGAGGGCTTGGGGGCCTCGGGCGGGCTTCCTTCCCAGTGGAGGGCTCAGCCAGAGGAGCTTTGGGGATCCCAAAGCCATTCCCCAAATTATGGCTTTAATCCCGGAGTGATATCTGAGCAGGGCTGGGTCCACCGAGAATAAAGCGAGGGAGAGCATTGGTTTTCCGAACAGGTGTGCTTGGTGATGTTTGCACTGGGGTATCCGGAGGGGTGTGCCCTGATCTGCAAAGCCCCACCCTTTTTTGTGCACCTGGGTACATCCTCTGGGCCCCCCCCCAAAGACCCAGGCTGGAATAGAATAGAATAGAATAGAATAGAATAGAATAGAATAGAATAGAATAGAACAGAATGCAGAATAGAATAGAATGCAAAACAGAACAGAATAAAATAGAATGCAGAACGGAACAGAATGCAGAATAGAATAGAATAGAATAATAGAATAGAATAGAATAGAATAGAATAGAATAGAATAGAATAGAACAGAATGCAGAATAGAATAGAATGCAAAACAGAACAGAACAGAATAGAATAGAATGCAGAACGGAACAGAATGCAGAATAGAATAGAATAGAATAGAATAGAATAGAATAATAGAATAGAATAGAATAGAATAGAATAGAATAGAATAGAACAGAATGCAGAATAGAATAGAATGCAGAACAGAACAGAATAGAACAGAATGCAGAACGGAACAGAATGCAGAATAGAATAGAATGCAGAATAGAACAGAATAGAATAGAGCTGGAAGGGACCTTGGAGGTCTTCTAGTCTATGCAATGGGTGTGGCCACCCTCTTGATTGTCTTGATGGTCCTGGCTGGACTACGCAACCAAAACTGGCTGCTGCATAAACCTCTGAGTCGAGGGGCTTCTAGAAACCCCTGACAGATCTCAGACTGGATCCATTTGGCTGCTATACAGGCAGTCCTCCAGTTACGACAGTTTGTTTAGTGACCATTCAAAGTTTCAGCAGACCACCCTGGAGCTGTGGATGACACCGTTCCAGAGCCCCTATGGCTCCCCCCCTTTTCCCTCTGCAGTCACGTGGCCTTGAGGACCGATTGCAGCATCCCGCAGCCAGGTGACCGCAACTGTCAATGCGTTTGCCAAGAAAAAAAAAGGCATTGTCAGAGTATGCACAGTTTTATTGCGCTGAGATAACCCCAGGAGTAAACACAGTAAACAGTGGTTTGTATTAAATGGTGGTTTATCTTACACTATCTACAATCATACACCAGGAACAATATACATGCACGTGCTAATACAGCAGGATCCAAACAACCACAATTACAGCAGGAAACAGAAGAGAAAAAAGCACAGCAGCAGAGCTCTTAAAGGGACACAGACCCTGCTGGCTCTTAAAGGGACACAGACCCTGCTGAGTCATTCCCATCATTGCATCATACATCTCACATTATACAAGCTGGTTAGCTGTTCAGCTATTACCTTGACAGGCATTTACGTTCCGGTTTCTGGGGGGGGGAACCAACACCCCAAAGCAAACAATGGATTTACTTTAGGACTGTGTGTATATATAACCTCAGTCCTCGCTCATCCAACCCTCTGGGCATGTAGTTTGCTACCCCAGGCCTCTCTGTGCAAATAGAATAGAATAACAAGAGTTGAAAGGGACCTTGGAGGTCCTCTAGTCCAACCCCCTGCTCAAGGTAGGAGACCCTATACCATTTCAAACAGGTGGCTGTCCAGTCTCTTCTTAAAAACTTCCAGTGTTGGAGAATCCACAAACATAGAACAGACAATAACAGACTTGGAAGGGACCGTGGAGGTCATCTAGTCCAACTCCCTGCTCAAGCTGTCCAGTCTCTTCTTGAAAACCTCCAGT